GTGTCTGTGCCACTAGTTGACATCTTTAAGGGATGCAGAGGAGAGCAGGGATTCTCAACAGCAAGCAAAAAATTCAAAACAGGGATTAAAGACATATTACAGCAAACTGGGACTGGGAACAGGGAGGCAATTCCCATTTACAAACACCCTGCATTTGCTTCCAGGGAAAACACACCTGCAGCTTCTCCACAGCCTTGCAGCAAGCTCTGAGCATCCTGCAGATGTGCACATGCAGCACTGCAGCTCCCCAGAACACAAAGTGTCTCTGTGGGACAAGAAATCTGATTCATCAATAGGAGGCATCAGAAACCAGGGGTATGCAACATGGCAAATAACATTTATATATATATATATATATATATATATATATATATATATATATATATATATATATATATATATATGTCTCCACTCTCTTGACTGCTGCACAGGCTACAGCTGTGCCAATTTTTTTTTAGTTCTAAAAAACAAGTTACAAATTCTCTACTTAATACTTCTCGATGGTCTTTGATTTGCAGGGCCTGAATTATAAATTTGTTTCTGCCTAGATAATATTATATAGAAACACAATGGTACATTTTATTATTTTTAGAAGTACAACATCTAATATTGCTTGCACTTTCTACTTTCTTCCTGTCACATCTCTCTCTCACTGAAGGAAAGGCAATCTTGGCATTTTACTGGAATTTCTCTTGCCATGTAGCACTACTAAATATCAACACACCAGTGTACACGGGATTAAAATTGCATTTTGAAAGATAGACTTAAATCTTTTCTAATAATTTGGTCTCATTTACCTTTCCATGGAAGCCCTGGCTATTCTATTGACCAAAAAATTACATCACAGGACTAAAAAAGATTAACTGAAATAACTCCCCACAGTAAGCCTACAGCAGAGGCAAAAAATTAAACCAATTACATGCACTCGGAATCAAGACATCTGTTCAAGTCCTGCCTTTGCTCTGTGACAAGGAAATTCACTTCCATATTCTGTGCCTTTGTTGACAACTGTGAAATGAGAATATTTCTCCTCTGCCCACCTTTGTCTGTCTTATCTATTTAGGGAACAAATTCTGCAGCCAGAATCCCCTCTGGCAGTGCCCCCAGCCCAGCTGAGAATGAGGCAATCGGTGCCTTTGTTGCATTGTTGGGGCTGCAGAGCAGGGGTGCCTTGCAGCAAACACCAGCAGGGAAAAGCAACCCTTGCTTAGTTTAATTATCAGGAAATCTTGGGCCTAAGTGAATAAATGATTGCTTTGTTTCTACTTGAGGCTGCCTTGCTGTGTTTTTCCCAGAAGAGAATATAGTGGGTTTCTTCAAGTGGGGAACAGATTAAAACACACAACTCTGCTGAGTTGTTCAGTGCTGCTGGTGGTGAAGCTGGGTGCAAGCTGAAAGTCCTGGTAAGGCTGATGCAGCAAATAAAAGTCAGCTACTCTTGATTGACCTTCATTCAGAAATCAGAATTAACTCAGAATTGACCTAAGTTGAGAAATGCCTACAAAATGAATGCATACATTGATTTGAAGAAGTATAAACAGAGAATCACAGAATATTTGGGTTGGAAGGGACATGGAAGGTCAGCTGGTTCCACTCCCTGCCATGGCAGGGACACCTTCCACTGTCCCAGGCTGCTCCAAGCCCCAGTGTCCAACCTGGCCTTGGGCACTTTCAGGGATCCAGGGGCAGCCACAGCTGCTCTGGACACCCTGTGCCAGGGCCTGCCCACCCTCACAAAGAAGAATTCCTTCCCAAAATCCCACTATCCCTGCCCTCTGGCAGCTTGAAGTCATTGCCTTGCTCTGTCACTCCATGCCCTTGTCCAAAGTCCCTCTCCATGCTCCTGCCAGTCCCCTTTGGGTACTGAAGGTGCCATAAGGGCTGCAGAGCTTTCCCCAGGCACTGCCCCCTGGCTCTGGAAGATCAGATCCCACTGCCAGGGGAAGCTGGGGAGCAGAACAACCACAAGGACAATCAGCATTGCCTCATCCTCCCTGCCCAAAGAGGGCAAGATGGAACCAGTTAAAACCCCACCATTCCTGGCTGCCACTGGTCTAACCTGTGCTTGAGAAATTCCACCGATGGAGACACTGCGGCTTCCCCGGGCCATTTATTCCTGGACTTAACCATCCCTTCACTTGAAAAGTTTTTCCTAATGTCTCCACTAATCTCTGCTGCAATTTAAGCTCATTATGCCTAGTCCCAGTGGACATGGAGAACAGTTTATTCCCTTCCACTTTGCAGGTAATCACAGGAGACTCTGAAGACCTATTACCTCCCCCATGTTGCTATCACATGTTTTAGCATTTGTGCTTTTCATGCTATAGGAAAATGTCTGATAAAGTGAAAAACTGCACATACATCCTTAGGAAGAGGTATTTCACACAGAGAGCCTTTAGCATATCAGTTATAAGAATACCTGGGCAAGTCCTGTCTTTGACTCTTCATTTCTAAATTCTACCTGTCTAAAAGCATTTGAAACAAAGAATCCTGACACTTTTCAGAGCAAGTGTCACATTGCTGGAGGAGCAGAAGTTGTTGCATATTGCCTAAAAAATGACTGCCTTTGTAGTTGTGATTATACTGAACAACATAAGAGCAGCTAATGGTGTAATCACCAGAGCAATGTCTGCAGGTCCAAAGAAATGGGTTCTGCCCCACACCACTGATACCAATCCCTCATGGAGGATGGGTCATTTTGGCCAAATTTGCAAGAGAACTCAGTGGAAACACCCAGCTTTTGATGCAGCAGTGGAATTACTGCTGAACTTGGGGACTGAGTGACTCCAACTACAGATAATCTGTCATTCTCAAGGCAGTGAAAACCACTGAGCACATACAAAAGTGTGGGGCAATTAAGATGGAGCTGGCAATACCTACACAGCTTTGTAAAGTCATCCTCAGCAGCATCACTTCAGTCTCTGCTGGGGGCTCAGAGCTCAGCTTTGACTAGTTTTGCTTGGGAAAACACCCACCTAAAGAAGACATTTTTTTAATATTTATTATAATTGCAGCAGCACCAGCACTAAACATCCCACCTGAGATGCAGCAGAGCTCCAGACCTGCATGTGGTAAGCACACACTGATTATCCTGAAGGACTGGCCAACAGAAAGAAGTACTTCCCAGCTTGCTTTTGTGACATTCAGGGCACAGATGCCACTTGGCTTCTAATACCACAGTGTTATGAGGCTCTTGTGAGAGACAACCCTGGATATTCACTGCTGCCAGCAGTCAGTGGTGATTGATGACTCTATTACAGTGATGGCTGTGGCTCCATGTTTTCTCCACGGCCCTCAACACCAGCCAAAAAGCAGTGACTTAAGGAGCTTTTTTAGCTCTCAATTCCTCTATCAAGAGTCAGTACAGCCTTTGTTCAGCTGCTTGTTACAGAAGTCAGAAAAGGCTTGTTTCATGATTCCTCCAGCTTATGAACCTCTGCCTTGACCTGCATTTCTAGGAGAGTGCTAATAAAAGGGAGATTAATCTTGTAAAAGAAGTATCTGTATTTCAACTGCATATTGTGATATTTCCACCCAACACATGGACACACCTGTAGCCCTGACTGACCAACAATCATTTTCCCCCCGGTTGTCTCACTGGTTTTGTTTGTTTCAAGCATTTACATAAAACACCAGCTCACCAGCAGGAATCCTCCTCTCAGTTTTAAGCCAAAAGGCAACCAGCAAGTCAAATCCATTCCCTCATACTGGGCTAACTTTGCCCACTGGAACATGCAGATCTCAGCATATTAACAGATTTTTCCCCCAGTACTTACCACTGAAAAGTTGCACAGGTGGCATCATTTTCTAGTTATATTATGGAATCCTTTGTCAACCAAAGTATTTGGAATTCCCCTAATGTCACCCCAATTCTGCTGGTTTTGCCCTATGCTCTCTAGCTCTTATTTCACTTTGCTCCCCACAGCTCTGTACCTGTAACTCCTCACTCTATTCTCTCTCCATTTCACATATTCCTTTCTCCACACCTTTTCCTTAATCCCAGCCTAATTCTACCTTCACACATTTTTTTTATTTGGACACATCCTCACTTCTTTTTTCCACAAGCTTATTATTGCTTTGCTAGTCACTGTGACAGAAACCTTTAGCTCCCATGACTGGGCTCCATTTGGCCCTCTTTAGCAAAGCTAAAATTCTAAATTCTAAAATTAATAGAACACCTGAACACCAAGGAGCTATGACTTCCTAAGGTGACATCAAAAATTCAACCTCTGCCCAACACCAGCCATGTAACCCTCCCTGCAAAAAAAGCCAATTAGAACTGCAAGGAACAGGGGTGGTGCACAACCACCAGAACAGAGGCTGGAGACCTTGTGGTGAGGACATTATTCATATTTAACTCAGGAAGATCTTCGTTTTTTCCAAACCTATCAGAACCAGTTTCTATTACCAAAGAATTCACATCTAGCTGGTGACAAACTACAAAATATTCCATATACAACTCATTTAGCATGTCTACCTGGTAAGAGCTCAGGTTTGTCACATTTCTGCACACACAGAGCTGTTTCCTCTCCATCACCACCTTCTCTGCAACGATCTGGTACCATTCCTGTTGTCAGCAAGTTTGTTTTCCTACAGGTAATAAAGTGCTCCCACTGGCTACACAGGCACTGATAGAAGAGAAGAAGTTGGAAGCAAAGAATGAATCCAATCTCCAATCCAAAATACCCACAGCTCAATCACCTTCCTCAAGCCTCAGATTTTCTGTCCCTCCTTACTATTCACTGTAAAATAAATATTTAAGTACTAACACCTGATACAAGCTACCAGGAGAACAGTCTGAGTCTGCTCTGCAAACAGAATTGAGTGAGACAGTTTTTAATGGTAACACTCAAAAGAAAGAAATTCTTTTTATTTCCCAGTTCATCTCACTGGAAAAAGATTAAAGATTCAGAAATTTTTCCATCAGGAAGGTCCAGAACTCAGTAACTCCTTGGTCTCAACATTTGTTTCAAAATCAGTAAAGGCTGCTACACAAAGTATTTATTTTCAAAAAATCTATAGATATTTATTGAACAAATAAGAAAGCAGTGGAATTTTTCATAATCAGATACTACAAAATATCTACATTTTTAAAAGGTTATCTACAGGATTGAAATAATTCAGCTCCAGACAGCAGATAAAGAAAATAGTTTCACTAACATTATAAGCAGGCAAGGAATGACAGATTTATACAAACTACAATAAACAAACAAACAAACATTTCTTAATTAAAAACAAGAGTACAAAGATTGTTCTTCTCACTTCACTTGTTTTAGTGGAGCCTTGTTAGGAGCAGGTGAGCATCTCTTGTAGAGAAGGAGTAGCAGCAGTAGTCTAAGTGGACCTGCAATAAATAAACTCTATTTTAGGAAGAGTATTTAGAGCAATCATTAGCAGGTGGAACATTCACCATCCTAGGAAAGCAGAAAGCCAGCTTTCACTTGTACCAAGACACAGAATAAAGGAGTTTAACGATGAAAAAGTGATCTTTATATAATATGGCACCATCTTGATGCACTAAGAATGCATTGTGCAGAAACACTGTGACTCAAATTAACATGCAAAGAGATCCCTATGAAGCTGCCATTAGTCTTCTGTCCTAAGTAACTTATTTTTAGAATAAACCAGAGATGACTCACACTACTGAACCACTAAAATATACCCATCATTCTTAGTGCCCTAAGGTTGGCACAAGCAACTTGTAAATGTCAGAAAAGCATATAAACCTCGTTAATGTTTTCAGAAATTCATTTAAAGATAGAAACAGGTCCAAAAAGATGCCTGTCTAAATGCATTGCAATTACGTTACAATTATTTTCCAAATACACAGATATGCTCTGTCTTTTCTCAGCTCATTACTGACTCAAACAATTTGCCCTTCTGGGATCAATTGTTTGCTAATAAATAATTGTTTACAGTCACAAAATGATATTAAGGAGTATTCTTATTAGTTTTCCTTCTACAGCCTAATAAGATTCCAAACTAGCTGATTCCCAAGAGTCTAACCTTAACCTTGCTGTGTTTAACAGCCCAGGAAATGATGAACCATCTGTTTCAGAAAATAATGGAGGGCCAAGAGGAAATATTGTTTAATTGTAGATTAACCTCCTTGTACAGCAGAATGAAGCATCTACAGAATTAGCAACTCTAACTAGCAATGAATAAAAAAACCCTGAAAGTCATTCTTACTATTAGAAAACCAACAGCAGCAAGTATTCTTTCATCAACTTTGAAAAACACAACAAAACAAACCAACTCATAAATGTATGTAACAAGTACAATCTGATTTTTTAAAAAAATAATTATCATATTTGGATTTTTCCACTTGAGGAACTCCCAGAAATAAATACTAAAATAGTTCTGGCTTTACTTTTCTAGGAGTATCAAAATTACTTTAAAACAAGTATCTCCAAGTGAGAGATGTGGAAGTTATAAGTAATAAATATCTTATCATTTTAGGTATAAAACAGCTGCTCCAAAGCAACAGACAAGTCATATAAGGGAGTGGAGGGAAAGATCTTGAGGTTTTAAACTCAAAAAATTTGATCATTTATGTATCTGTTTTCACAGCCACTTTTAATAATGGAGACAACCTGATAAGGTGTAAGACAGATTGAGTACTAGAAGAGAAAACACCTAGCAGTGATAAAGCACAGGAATTTGAAAATAAAGCCAACTGCTCCTGTGCCTCCATCATTAAGGGCAGCACAATTCTGCACTGGGATGGCAATTTTTCTATGTAACATTGATGCCACAGCAAGCTGAACAGGAATTTTTACCTCCATCAATCAGTTTGCCTCACTTTGACAGCAACAACGACAGAGAAGTGTGTTATCAAAGGGCTGCAGCAAACTCCAACACGCAGGAACTGAGAGAGCTTTCCCTTGATTTCACACAACCTTCCTAGAACAGAATCTAAATTCACTGCTCACTCTGACAGCTGGGTGCATACTCAGTGTGACAGATTGCCTTCATTCCAAGTTTTAAATATCCAAACACGGTAACATTTACTCCAATAAATTATTCTTGAATTCTTCACTCAATTCCTGAAGCAATGAGCTCGCAATAACTCTACAGCTTCATATAATAGCACCTATTGAAAGAGGATAAGAGTTTGACATTCTTCTCCCACTAAACAACCAGGCACAATTTTATCCATCAGCCGTCTATCAACCTACGGATATTGAAAGCTTGGGCGAAGGCGATACCATCAAACCCAGCCCTACTGTCAAGCTGCGCTATCTCCTACCATCAATAATACTATTCATGAATTTGGGAAAATTAATAAATCTTGGGGTGGAGGCTGGGAGAGCCTCGAGCGCAGGTGAAGCGGGCACTCACTTGGGCTTTGTCTCTGCGTCGGTGACCTGGCGGATGTAGATGCCGTCCTCGGGGTGCTCGATGTCGTCCATCTCGTACATGTAGGAGGAGGCGATGGCCAGCGTGGTGCCGTCGTTGCTGAAGGCCAGCGAGGCGATGCTGGTGGGGTAACGGTGGAACTGGCACAGCCTCTTCTTGTTGAAGGGGTCCCAGATGTTCACAAAGCCGTCCGAGCCGCCTGCCAGGCAGGGTTCCAAAAAGAAGTTATAATTGAGGGAAAGAATAAAACTGAAGAGGAAAAAAAAAAAGGCAACTACTCGTAATTACTTTGTCAGGAAAAACAGAGGGTTGATTCATGCGGTAAAGAGCACAATGAGCATTTCCCAAACTCCCTGTTAAAGCAGTTAACTGGAGAAAAGACTGCAATACACTTTTATCTCACAGCACTCTAAATTCTAAGGAAGTGGTAAGGCAGAAAAAAATTTCCTAAGAGAGATTCTCACTGCATCATAGCTTTAAGCTGACAGTGAGATTTGTGATTACATCTGAAGCTGACAGTGAGAATTGTAATTACATCTGCATGTCATGGAGATACTTTATGAAAAATCCTTTCATTAGGATCTTTTCTCCTGAGCTTCAGCTTCTCCATGTTTTGCTGCTTTGGAATGTTGAGAATTGTTTACCCAGCATGTGAAATTGTTTTTACTTGATGACCAATGCCAGCCACCTGTGTGTCGAGGCTGTGAGCAGTCACAAGATTCCATTCCATTCTCTTCTATTCCTTGCAAGCCTTCTGATGAAATCCTTTCTTCTATTCTTTTAGACTAGTTTTAATATATCATTTTCTTTTAATATAATATATATCATAAAATAATAAATCAGCCTTCTGAAACATGGTGTCAAGATTCTCATCTCTTCCCTCATCCTGGGACTCATGTGAACACCACCACATCTGCAGGTCCAAACACAAGCTTGTGTTTGGGGGAAAAAATATTAAGAGTTAAGAATTCTCCTTACATCAAATAATTTTAAAACCCTGCTTATGGCATGAATACAATTTAAATGCTTAAAAAGTCAGGGCAAATGAAGTAAAGGCTGATCTGTTTACAGCAGGAAACTGGAATTTTCAATTCTTTCAATTCAATCCTTTCAATTAAAGGAATTGAGGCAAGTGTTACAAAGAATTGAGTATTTACCTGTAGCAAACGTGTTGTGGACATTATGGAAAGAAATGGCATTAACTGGATAAATCTGCTCGATGTTGTTCTCCTTCAAACGATGACATTTGAATGCATATTTCTTCTTCTGGATTTCTGGGCTTGGATCCAAATATTCCACAGCTACACGACCTTCAATAGAGCTTAAAACATAACCCTAACAAGAAAAAAAAAAAAAATTGGAGCTACATGTTTTAGAAGTTTACAATGAGAGAAAAGACTGCAACACAATTTTATTTCATAGCCTTCTAAATTCTAGCAAAGTGGTAAGGCTTAGAAAAAAGCTTTCTAAGAGAGATTCTCATTGCATCATAGTTTAGAGCTGACAATGAGACTTGTAATTACTTCTGCAGGTCAAAAAACAAGCTTATCTTTGGGGAAAAAAATTTCAAGAGATAAGAACACCTTGCATTTGCTCACCTATCCCCCAAGGCCTAAATATCTGAAATATGAGAGATACTCACAGGACTATTTAGTTCCAGAATTACATTACATTAAAATTAGTTCAGAGCTTTATACTAACAACTAAACACTCAAGCTGAAATAGTATTTTCAGTGAAACTTGATTACAAGTTGTGTTCACTTATCCAGTTAATTACAGTCCTGACTTGGAGCAACCTGAGATGCTTTTATTATCACTTTTGAGTTAAGTCCATAATAGATCTTTTCAGAAATAGGATTGCAATGATATCTAGCTATAACAAGGCTCTTTAAAATCCATCATACAATACAATCTGGAAGATCAGCTTGTTTTACTATAACTAGAACTGAAAATGGACAAAGCATTCATGCCAGTTCAAGAACAAGTAACTAGGTCTTGCAATTCCTGTACTATCACTCTGTACAGGGGAAAATTCCCTTACAAATTAGTTTGGCAGAGAAAGCCAATCTTCTTGCTTTCCTTGAAAAAAGAAATGCCACAGACACACCACGTTAACTTGCACAGAACAGCTGCAGCAGCACCTGAATTGTACAATTCCCCCTGGATAATGGATCCAGGGTTCTGCAGTGCATGCCACAGACTCAAGAGAGAAAAAAAAGAAAAACATATAAATGACATTCATGCAGTTTTAATCCTGCCCCTGTTCACAGACTATTCAAGAACCCTGGGTTACAATACATAAAAGCTGCTTAGGAACCACCAATTCTGGCTTTCTCTCTTCTACTGCAACTGGGGAGGGGAAGGATGGTTTTTTTTAATTACATGTCTCCTTTTTAGAAATAACCTGTTTCATGAATCACAATGCTGACAAATCTTGAGGAACAAAACAACACAATATGCTGGTAAGTCAGTAGCAAACATTGCTAAGCTGCATTAAAAGAATTAATGTACCCCAGGAAGCCTCCCCCCTCCAAAGTTTGATTACAAAACACATCCCCACTGAAAAATGAACTTGAAAATAAAGCCCCATTTTCCTGAAGAATATTGAGCAGAAATGAGAGTGCTGCCAGTGCTGCCATACCTGTTTGTTGGGGAATGCTCTGATGCAGCGGGTCTGGTATTTCAGGCTGGATTCCCTTCGCTGCTGAACGTATCCCATGTTCCTCAAATCCCACACCAGCACCCTCCGGCCTGCTGTCCCCACAATCAGCCTGTCCCCAGACACAGAGAGGGTGTAGACCTTCCAAAAGAATATTTACAGGATTTAACACTGATATTAGCCTGGAAACCCCCCCCTGCTCTTTGGACAGAATAAGCTGTCAGCAATGAGCACTAACACAACTGCTGACATCTGCCATGGAATGCTCAGCGACAGAATTCCCTTCAGCTTTCATTTAGAACCCAAATTTGGGATAAGCAGCAGCAATGTGCAGCTGGTTAGTGAGAACACCCTGATGTAGCATTCCAAAGCTCAAAAACTATTCCAGGCATTAAATTTACCAAAATGAATGGCAAAAGAAAAACCCATACAAAGGAACAGGAGGGGAAGTGCTGGATATTGGAATTAATCTTAGCTTGGTTTTGCATTCCCACTGTCAATTCACAATCCTGCAGTTTAGTCCTACAAAACCACATCACACATTTTCTTCTCTGTTTTCCTCCACCTGGTAAGCAAGTATTTTTCTTTATAAACTGAATATTTTGGGTTGAGCTTCATGTTAATAAAATAGATTGCCAAGAGATCATTAAAAAAAACTACATTAGTTTGTGTACTTTAATAAAACAAAGTGAATTTGAAGAAAGCAATATGCTTGACATATTTAAAAAATAAGATAATGGCTTGGAATTTTAACTCTACCCAAAAACTTAGCTCAGTGGGAAATTTTGGCTTATCAGATTTCATATGAAAATATTTAGAGCATGAATTGTTTTTCCAGCTATTGCCTGGGATGCAGTTCATCTGGTAATGTGTAAAAAAAAACCAAAAAAAAACCAACAAAACAAAAATACAAGGAAAAGGGAAGATGTTTAGTCAAAAAAAGCCTGTGCTATGGAATGAACTCCAAGCTGTTGATACATGAGCAGATGGAATCCAGCTACCTGCAGCTGCCACTGAGCTGCTAACAAGAGCAAACTATGGCAATGAGCTTTTCCCAGTGATCAAATGCAGCCAAACACACAGGAAACAGATCCTGGGTACTGCTGAGATGAGGAATTAGAAGTGTAAGAGATCTGCTACCCTGCCACAGGGAATCAGTTTGCTTTTGGCATTGCTTGGATGATTTCATTTGGTTTCATTTTGTGGTTCTCTGATGAAGCCCAAATCTGCTTGGTTCTGGTAAGACTGCACTGAAACATCACATACAAGTTTTCTCCTCAATTGCTACAAACACATTTTCAAAAAGTTAATTTCTAATAAAAAGCTAAGCAGACAGGTGTGTATGTATACATACAGATAAAAAGCTTTCTTTAACCAATCCTCATCCACCCAGCATATTTTCTTCTCTAAAACATGATTATTGAACTCTATAAGACTGAGATTTTAAGATGGGAAAAGTCTTAAATATTCACACAGGAGTTGCCCAAAATTTCTGATGATCCCAATTACTCCTAAAAAAGGTAAGAAAACTTTGAGCCAACAGTAGTCACACATTTTAACAGGATAGATTTTTGTTATTGATGTAAAAATCGGTCCAGAAATATTCATAAACACTATATAAAATATGTTTGTGTACATATAGGGAAACAAAGGCATAAAGAACATCAAATATCTTAAATCTTCTTCACAAACTGATGTCACACCTGTACAGTGAGTGTTCTTTCTCCACCACACAGCCATAAATCAAATGAAACCGTTGTCATGCAGTGGAGTAGGTGTACACATTCATCAAAGGCAGCATTAAAAAAATGACATAATGAACCTTGCTGAACCAATAAGCAGCTTGATTCACTGTGCCTGTCCATTATATGATATTCTGTCAGCAATTTATCACAGTTCTTTACATGCTACATACATCTATAAATCAAAACTAGAAATAATGCAATTACTATATTCTGCACAAAGGTCTGGCCAGAAGTAGATCCAGCTCTGCTGGAACAAAAGTAAGAGCTATTTAGGGGCAAAGGGAAGGTAATGATGGCTCATCATTAGGACTTGACAATAGGATGTCACAGAGCTAAATGAAATTTTTAAAAGGTACAGGCAAAAAAAAAAAAATCATATGTAAAATTATCCAGCAAGCCAACCTGTGTTTAGGAGTCTGTGGAAAAAAACCCAGGAATTTCTGTTAATTGTTTCAGTGACACTGCTGTAAGCAGCAGGGAACTTAACACATCATATGGCCATTAGAAAAAGCTGAAAACATCATTCCATTTTATCTTATTTCTCTGAGTCTCCCATTATCTCAGAGGATTTCAGCTTTAGGGGAATATCCAAATTTACTAGAAATTAATACAAAACAGGAAAATCACAAAACAAGCAATTCTGTTCAATTTTTTGAACACTAGTAAAAATCAAAAATATTATTTCAGGCAACATAAAAGATCTCCTACAGAGATATTTTTTCTGTGCACATTCCAAAACAATCAGACCTTAGGACTGCCAGGGTCTGATATACTTAAAATCTTAACATTTAAGGAAATCAACTGTGCATTTTACAATGAAGCCAAGATGCTTGGTTTTCCTTCAAATTTATTTTCAATTTTAAGGAAGTGGTCCAGCACAAGCACCAAGAATTGAGGAACACTGAGGAAAGCTCAAAGCCCTCACCAAAAATAGCAATATATTCTGAATACCAATCGTGTAAAATGCTACACTTCCATCCAGTTTAAAAAACATTAAATATAACTTCACAAATTCAGCTCAAAGCTTCACAAATTCAGCTCAAAGCTCTACAAATTCAGCTCACAGCTCCACAAATTCAGCTCACAGCTCTACAAATTCAGCTCACAGCTCCACAAATCCAGCCCAAGGCAGTGTCCTGGTGGTGTTCCAGTCCCAGGGTGCATTATTTAACACCTGGGGTGCAGCACTCACCTTTTCAGGCTGGGAGAAGGTTCCTGCATTGCAGGGAGTTCTGGGATCCCAGAGTTTGACAGTTTGATCCCAGCTGCCAGTCACCATGACATTCACTTCTGGGCAATACTCCACACACCTGATAGGAGCATCGTGGGCACCAACAAGGTTTTCTGTAAGAAAACACAATATTTTGCAATTTCACTGTTTACTACAAACAGAATGTGTGAAACAAAGAATAAAAAAAGAACACAACTGCAGCACAAGCATTTCCTGACATTCTACAGGTGCATTTCTATGCCAGAAGTCCCTGCAAGAATAGTTCAGCCTTCAGAAGCATAACTTTTGCAAAGATCAGCATTGTTACATTTAAATTTATGTCTCTTGAGCTTAGGATTAAAGAATTTTAGGCAGTCACTGAGATCTTTACAGGTATAAGGCATCAATGGTATCACACTGACAAACACACTAACACAGAAAGCAGCTTAAGCTTGTGTGCATCAATAATATGACAAAAGAAAGCAATGACTATTACACCTTAATAAAAATATTAAAACACTTGGAGGAAGTCAGGCATGGCAGAATTATTTGAGTTTTTCAGTACCATTACTGCACACACTGATTTGTGAAGCCCTGGCTATTGGCAGGTGAAATCTGCTTTTCTCTTTAACACTCTAAAAACACACAAAAAAGTGAGACAAACCAGTTCCATATTTTGCACCAACGAGGCAATGGAACTGATACTTTCAAGCAATGTTTTCTTAGAAAAAACTGTAATACAAGGCCATGCTTGACAAAAGCAAAAGCTCCATATATCCTCTGCCATGAAAGATCATTCTAAATACACCCTAACTACAAACCTCTGAAAAACAACATGCTCAGCTTTAGTTCAGCTTGGCTACTTCCCCCTAACTGAGCCTCTGTAGCCTATGGCAGGGCAGGATTATCATCAGAAAACCAATTCAAGGCACCCTGCAAGCAGCACCAAACCTTCTGGCAATGCCAAATTCTTCCAGGTTTTTAGGTGGTCCTGATTAGGGTCACTGGTTATTCTGCAGATACTTCAATATAGCCCAGCTAAAGAACCTGAAGAATACTCTGTGCATGTAAGTACATAAATCTGAAGCTCAGCTGCTGACAGCATTTAGAATTCAATCTGCTCACCTTGGTCCGTGTTTAAGTCGTGCATTTTCAGTTGCTGATCCAGCCCCCCACTCCAGGCATGGGTAGGATCCTATAAAGCAATAAAATTTACCTTATTAAGTTTCCAGGGCTGCTCTGCCTGGACACTCATAGGACACAGGACTTACTTTCAAGAGTTTTGGGAAGATAGGAATTAAGACACAAATGTTAAGGTGTGACCCAGATGTAAACAGACTGAAGCTTTACAAAATGTTTAGGTGCTTTGAGTGATAGAAATTTCTTTAGTTTAGAAGTAAAATGAAAATAAATTTTAAAAAGGCAGTTTCAGGCTAGACCAAATAATTTCCATTTCTTCCTATTTTAAATGACTGCCAACCTAAGTCCCATCTAGGTGCAGGATAATGCTAAAACTGATTTAGAAGGGAGATACCATTGGAGAACCTGAGTGTTGATCCACAGGACAGCATCAGCCACGTGACAAAACATTCAGTGAAAAAAAGCACAAATAGACCCCCTCTTTAATTTCAGGGACTGACAATTTCTCATGCTTTGGGCACTCTAGAGCTGTAAACTAATAATTTAAAAAGCCCTCCCACACTTACATAAAAAGCACAGTCCAGGACAGCTCCTGAATGCTGATATTTGAGTCTCATGGTGTTGGCAGGGACATCATAGAGCCGCACAGTTGTGTCCCAGGATGAAACCAGCAGGAACTGAGATGTGTTTGGACTAAACTTCACTGATGAAATGCCATCATCTGGAGTTTGGTTGAGCTTGAACTCGTTTGATCCTGTCATCTGCAGACAAAAAGGCACAGATGCAATTTTAATGACGACAAGAACACGGGCCTAGCAAGGGAACAAGAGTGAGCCCTCTGAAAGGCAGCCCAAAGCAGACCTGAAAACTTCACTGGATTTTACACAGAACAGGTTCAGAACACCCAAATTTATCCAAACTCTAAAATTCAAGATGCCAATCCCTGTCCAAAACCTCAATAAATGCCTTTCTCTATAGAGAGCTTTTAAATATCAAATGCCACACAAATGAACAACACAAAAATATTATGATCATTATTATAATCTGTAAGATTAGATATTGTTACTTATAAAAGCATTTCCCTCACTCTGCTGAGTGTGTGGCTGTGATTTTTGAAGTAAATATTTATAAGTTATTGTGAACATCAAGAAGATACTTTAAAGAACATGTATTAGCAGAAAGAAAGTGGATTTGAAAACTCCCAAAAGTGTTGGTTTGCTCCTGGATTGGTATGACTGCCACACATTCCCAAGAATTGCAACTGCATCATCTTTTATGTAGCTTTGGGCACTGTGCAACTTTCAGACCTTTAGGTTTCCACAAGTGCTGTGAAATATGTGCAAGAAAAAGCTTTAAGGTTGTTTTTCCTTCTCTCTTAGAAACCAAAGAGCAGGTAAAGAAAGGAAAGTTTTTGTTTTGTGAAGTTCTGAAACGTGGAGTGACCACAGAACTGGGATGTGACCAGGAAAAAACATCAACAATTCAAAGAGCAGTGACTCTAAAGGCAAATGCAGCACTCCCAATCCAGGACCAGTTTGCTGAAACCTTCCAAGGACAGCAGAAGTTACAAACTGCAAATTTCAGCAGGAAAACAGTTCAGGCCTTACAAACACTCTGAAAGAAAAAAGTGCTGGTTACACATCCACAAAACAACCAACAAAACAACCACAGCCTCTTTTCAAGGTTTCTCAAGGCCTTCTCAGCACATTTACCTTCTGCTAAAGGGGCAGAGCAGTGAACTAACTCAGATTTTCTGTAACACTGTTACAGAATTTGTATGTACAACTGCAAAGGTAAGAACAAAAATCAGGAATAAATCACCTCTGAGAATAAATCAAGAGACAAGGAGCAGATGAACCAAGGGCAAGGTGCAAATTTAGGGCACAGTGGTTCCAGTTCAGTGCTTGTCAGCAGCTAAACAATCATCAGGTTGTGAAAGTGAGGAACACACATTCCTACACTGGAGAGATTTCCTGAGTGGGAGCTTTGCTCTCTAAGACACCCTTCAAAAAAACACAAAAAACCACCCACTGTGTAAAAATAAAGTGCTATTTCTGCTACTGAAGCATGAAGTGAAAGGGAAAAAAAAACCTTTTAATAGTAGAGAAGCTTCTTTCTGAGCCCCTTTTCTAGCCCTGCTTTGGGAACACTTGGAAAAAGAGAGGCTTGAGGTTCTGCCACACATCTTTCCATGGGAATGTTACTTGGAATTCATCAGCACTTGCTGAGGATGTTTCAGATGCAGGTGCAGAGACACAAAACCCAAAGGAATTCAGAACAACTGAGAAAATTAAATTGCACCAGCTTGTTGTCTTACTTTTACTTAGACCAGAAAACTCAAACAAAACATGAGATTTGAGGCACAAGTTACTGTATTATTTGAGGCCTGGAACAAGTTATTGACCAGCCCAAAAGCAACTCCAGGAGGCAAAGCTACTCACACAAGAAACCTGGAAGGATGTCCCAAAGATGTTTTTAATCCAGAACAATGTTTATAATATCAGAATTTAAGTATATCCTGCCTCTTACACATGGTAAAAAAAAAAAAAATCAGACCCAGAGATCCACATTTTCCACAAAAATATAACCAGGATTCCAAACCATAGTTCTGTACCCACGTCAAACAATAAAGTCCTGGTAAAATGTTGAGAAAAAAAAAACTTTTAAATATTACAGAGCAAGCACATGCTGCTGAAATGGCGATTCTGAGTTAACCACGGGTTTCAGTTTGGCAAAAAAATGGAAAAAAAAAAAAAAATTTTTAGTGAGCAAGCAAGAAACCTGTGCTTTTATAGCTTCTCTTGGCACAGGTGTCACTCCGGTGGACGGAGGAGCTGAACAAAGCAGAACGCTCCGGTGAGAGCTTCCGCACTTCCCTCCCGCGCTTTTATTCATAAACCACGAAACTCAAAGTACCGTTTTCATGCTGAACGAGCTCCTCCCGCTGCTCCACGGGCCGCCAAGGAAAAGCTTTCGGAGTCAGGGCAGCGCCGAGGCCTCGGTGCCTGTGAGGAGCGCCGGGATGAGGAAAACGCTGCGGGGAGGGAAGACAGTGAGGGAAGGGCCTGGCAACCAGGCAGGAAGGGCGCCGCACCGGGAAACGAACGCGCGGCCAGGAGGAAGGGTTCGGCCGTGCCCAGGGTCCCGGATTCCCAACCCCAAAGCCTCAATCCCAACCCCGAACCCCCGGTCCCGAATTCCCGGTCCTGGTCCCGGTCCCAGTCCCGGCCTCACCTCAGCCGCCGCCACCAGCCGCGCGCGCGCACTGCCGCCCGCCCCCCGCGATTGGCCGGTTCGAACGCGCGTGGCGCTGCGTCCCCGACGTGCGCCGCGAGCCCGCCGCGGGGTGTGCCGGGAGCTGTAGTTCGCCGCTGCCTCGGCAGTGGCGGCGTGAGGGGGTCGGTGCCTTCTCCCCGGCCCGGCCCGGCTGATAACGGAGGGGCCCGGGAGTTGCCCCCGGGAGAACCGTACAGAAAGAGAGGCTGCTGCTGAGCTCCAGCGGTGCTAAGGGATAAAACCCGAAATACGAGTTATTACCCCTAAAAATAGAGTCCGAAAGGCGGAGCGACCGAGCGGGGCCGTGTTCCCCAGCCTGGCTGCCGCTGCCCCGGGGCTGCGGCTCAAACACCGGCTGTGGAGCGCGAGCAGCGCGTTCTCCTTCCCCGCACGGAAAAACGCCTTATTTATCCCTTCGGATATTTAATTTCTCTGTTTTTCGGGGGTTTGTTTTTCGCTGTCCTCGTTGCTGTCGCTGTTACAGCCCCGGCGCTCGGCACGGAGCCGGTGGCCGCAGTTTAATCGCCACTTGCCGTGGGATTTACGGGTCTGGAGTGACCCATCGAGGCCGTGTCCCGTGCGGAGCCGTCGAGGATGCCCAGTGCGAGCCCGGCCCGCGGAGAGCAGGGACCAGCCCCCGGTAGCACCGAGCCCATCACCGCGGCTTCCACCGAAACACTCCGAAAAACAGAAAAAAAAGTCCCCGTTTAACGAAACTTTTCGGGAAATGCCCCTCATGTCCCAGCCGGGAGAAGGGCAGCGAGCCCCCGGCACGGGCGGACGGGCAGGCCCGGCTGGGATTCCCTGCAGGGAACGAGATAAGGAGCAAAATGAAACGAGATAAGGAGCAAAAATTCCGGAAAAAACAAACCCTCGGCGTTACGAGTCGTTTTGGCTCTCCCGTGCATCGATCCCGGGCCCTTCCCGGCCCGGCTGCGGGGCACCCCCGGTCCCCCTCGGGGACACGCGACCGAGGTGGCAAATTTACAAACGAGGCTTAAAACGCTTTAATTTTTTTTTTTCTTTCTTACTTTCTTTAAAAATATTTACAGATCTGAAATAACGCTTTTTTTTTAATTAATTCTTTTTTTTTTTTTTTCTTTTCGAGCGACAGGATGGCAGGAGGGGAGAGCGGGGGTGCCCCCGGCGCCCCGGGCTCTCCGTTTGCCCGTCCCGCCCATCAGTTTCGGTGCTGTGTCCCCTCCATGGGGGCGGCCCGAGAGCCCCGCACGGAGTCCCCGCGGCGGCCCCGGCCCCGCTCTCGGTGCGGGTCCCGACGGGGCGGGGGCGCGGGGCTCAGTAGTCGATCTTGTTGTAGAGGTTGTAGAGCGGTAAGGCCGAGAGGTTGCTGCCGGGGTAGTAGAGAGGGGCGGGGAAGGCGATGGACCGGGGCACCGGCACTCGCAGGAGGGAATTGTCTCTGAACACCAGCGGCATCCCCACCAGAGTCTGCGCCGAGGCGTGGGCCATGTTGGCCGCCTCCAGCTCGGCCGAGAGCTGCCGTTTCCACTTGTTCCTGCGGTTCTGGAACCAGGTCTTCACCTGGGTCTCGGTGAGCTGCAGGCTAGAGGCCAGGCAGGCCCGCTCCGAGCTGCTCAGGTAGCGCTTCATGTCGAAGGTGGACTCCAGCTGGTAGACCTGCGAGCGGCTGAACACCGTGCGCGTCTTCTTCTTGGCGGCGCCGGCCTGCCGGTCCCCGCCGTCGCGCTGCCGCTCCCCGCAGGAAGGCGAGGAGGGTCCCAGCGGCTTTTCCTTCTCGTCCTTACAGTCCTGCTGGGGGGGCGAGAGGAAGGGCCCCCGCTCCCCGCTGCCCGCCGCCGCCGCTCCGCTCCCCTTGGCGCTGCCTGCAACAGAGCGACAGCGCGGGGGTCGCACGGCGGCCAGCACCGGGACCCCCGACGGCCGAGCCCCCCGGCCCGCAGGGAAAAAGCACCGGGGCGAGACCCCGGGCAGGCACCCCGAGCCTCTGCTCCCGGGGGGACACACAATCGACGCCGGGGGAAGCCATCCCCTCCTGGGTATCCCTGTCCCCCTGTTGGATGGATGGATGGATGGATGGATGGATGGATGGATGGATGGATGGATGGATGGATGGATGGATGGACGGACAGGTGGGTGTGCGGGCCAGAGTGATAGCAGCTTGGTACCAGGCTTCCTATCCGACACGAGCCGGCAAATTTTACTTTACAGCATGGCATTTCACAGACCGTTTATTCAGAAATAATGCTTTAAAAAATAAATAAATAAGCACCGTTCTTCCCTCTGCCCGAGCGCTGTAATCAGAACCTAAGAAAACGAGCGTTATCAATCGCACCGCATCCCTCGGGGAAATCAACGCCGGATGGGATGGAAAAGATTTTTTTAAAAAGCCACCCCATTTTTCCTGGAGTTCCTTCCTCCCCGCTTCACCCACGGACGGCGCAAACACCCTGTGCCCCGAGAGCAGAGCCGGTTCGGCGTGCCCACGCCTCCCTCTTCCCGAGGCCCCCGCGGCCCTTCCCGTCCGCCCCGTCCCATCCCTGCGCTACTCACCGAGACAGGTGAAGCCGAGGGGGGGCTGGTGCTTGTGGCACGCCTGGCCGGGGCCCTGAGCCTCGGGGCAGAAGCAGCCGCGGTGCTTCCAGCTCTCCTCCGGCTCCTCGTCCTCCGAGGACAGGGAGAGGGTCCGGGCGCGGGCGGGCCAGGCGGGCGCTCTGTCTCCGGCTTCCCGGGGGGGCTCGGCGCTGCCGCTGCCCAGGATGGACTGGATGGTGAAACTGGAGATGGGAGCAGCCGCCGGACAGCACTTGCTCGGCTCTTCTTTGCTGCTCATCCTGGGTTCATAAGAAAGCAGAGGAGGGAAGCTGTCGCTTTAGAGGGGCTGCGCGGGAGGGGGGTGCCCCGGCAGCCTGCGGGCAGCCGTCGGTGGGGGCTGTTTCGGGGGGCGCTGGGGGCGTGCGGCGGCCGGCTCTCCCCGCGCCGAGCCAGGCGGAATGCATGCTCCTTCCCCCGCGTCCCTATTGATCTGCGGGCGGCGGGCGGCGGGGCTTCATTTGCATGGAGGTGGCCTCCGCCGCGCCAATCACGGCGGCGGCGGACACGGAAAGTTTGGAAAGCCGCGGGCTCCGGGAATGGGGAGGCACGGGGGAGGGGGGGGATGCGGCGGAGCTGGAGGGGGGAACCCCCGCCGGGGACTCGCCGCCGTCCCCGGGGGCTAGGCTGACCCCGCGGCCCCGGAGGAGGGCTGCTGGCCGCCCGCCAGCCCTCCTGCCCTCCGCCTCGAGTGGGCGGCAGCGACGTGGGCTGAATGGCTCATGCCGGCCGGGGGCGGGGGTGGCGGGATAAACACCTTGTGCATATCCGGGCATCTTTACCCTGCTCCTCATTAAACTGGGGAAAAAACCTGTCACGGTGTGTGTGTTGCCTGCTCGGCAGCGCTGGGAAACCTTCCAGAATCCGGGATTTGCGCTGCTGTGCTGCAGCCGGTGACAAATGTCCCAAGAAATGGCTCCCGCGTTTTGATCCCAGCGCCTGGAAGCCGTGGGGAGCAGGGAGGGAGGGTACGTGCCGCTGCGTTTCCAAATAAACTTTGTCAGCATTCAGGGGCTCTTCCCCTCGGGCTGGGTATAAATCACAGCCGCCGCATCTCCTGCCCTCGGAAGGGAAACCCGCAGGAGGCAGCTGCTGTGTCCCGCCTGTCCCAAAGGGAACGCGGGGCTGAGGGCAAGGACCCCGCCAGGACCCAGCGCCTTCCTTAGCGCAGACGGAGCTGCAGCTGGGAGCCCCAGAGGCTCCCCAGGCCGCGGGTTCGGGGCCTGGAGCCCCTTTCCCCGGAGGTACCCGCTGGAGACCGAGCCCCGACGGCTGCCTGGCACCGGGAGCTGGGCCCTCCTTCCCCCCGCCATGGCATCGCCCCGGGAAGGCTCAGGAGGGAGCGCCGGGAACGGGGCCGCTGTGGGAAGCACCAGCCTTGTCCCTGAATTGCCCCACGACCCCAGCCCCGGGCAGACCCTGCCGCCCTTTCCGCCTCCATTTCCCGCTGCCTCCGCTCCGCAGGGATGAGCTCCTCCCTGGGCCCTCCTCCCCTGCGGACACCCGTGTGTCCGTGGGTCGGGCTGTGCCCGAGCCCGCCGCCCCCGGCCAGGCTGCTGCAGCCCCCTGAGGCTCCCGCGGAGGGGAGCGACTGGGAAGCGCTGCTGCAGATCGGAAATCCTGGAGGGTTTGGTCGCATCCATGTCCAGGTGCAATATCCTTGGCCTTGGCAGGGGCCGTGGCACCGGGTTTTTAACCCCGGCTTGCCCGAGCGGGGTGGGGCCGGGGTCTCTGCGAGCTCCAGCTGTCGATTCCCTCTCTACAGAAATATAGCCCCCCCTCTCCTCCAAAAATTAAAAAAAAAAAAAAAAATCAAATAGGGGAAAGCAAAGAATGAGATGGAAATATACAAATCAATAGAGACAAATGTCAAGACGTTTTAAAATGACATTTTCATTAACTCCGAGTCACCATATTATGTCCGGTATATTGAATAAAGTACTTATAATATAATTAGGTATAGCGAGATGACGACTGTTACCCAGACCAGCGGCATAATCTTTAACTACTTAACTACTTGATAGACTCATTAATGGACTAATTGATTAGGAAAAGTGTTCCAGCTCCTCCTCTCCCTCTGAGGGGCAGGTGCTGTCCTGTTTTACCACATTAACCTTTTCAGTGCTTTTCAACAGGGTCGCGACACATTACAAATGGTCAGCTTTAATCATGATGTCAGCTCATTAACCCGGAAAGACCCCGCACTGAAATACAATTTAAGAAATCGTCCTTCATCCCGCTCTGCCGCCCCGGCTGGCCCCGCACCCAGACCCCACACCCCTCCCGGGGCGGGGAGCGGGCCAAAAGCCGTCCGGGAGACCTGCCCGAGCTGGGAGAGCCCCTGGGAGCTGCCATCCCTCGGATCCTGCGCGGGGACGGGCCCGGAGCAGGGAGGGAAGGCGACAGAGGGGACACCCCGCTCCCCCGGCACCCCCGACGTGACACTGCGATGGCACCGCTGGCCTCCAGCTGCCACCCACGGCAGCTCCGTCCCTTCGAATGCCACCAGCACAGCGTGGCCCTGGCACAGCGTGGCCCTGGCACTGCCCTCCGTTCCCCACGGAGCGGGTCGTGCCCGTGGGAGCCGCACGAGTGGCGGCGGCCGGGCCGAGGGGACGCTCCGGAGTTTGGGCCGGGAGGGAGAAGCGCTGCGGGCAGCTCGGCCGCAGCCAGAAAACCTCCAGAGTTTCCCAAAATGAGTGGAAAATTCTCTAAAATGAGTATTTAAGCGAAACTTGGGAAGCGGCCGCTCCGCTCGGGAGGGAGGGAAGCCAAGCGGGTTCTGCGGGATGCCGCTGTCAGCAAGGGAGGAACGGCGGGGTCGGAGCGGCCCAGCCGCGCTCTCATTATCATCTGATCAAATATTCATCAGGGCAGGGGCTGCGGGCCGCGGGAAGGGTTTTGCGAGGGGGTGACCCGCAGCTGGCCGCTCCCCCCGCTCCCGCCCCGCCGCCCGTCCCGTCGGGGCAGCGATGATCAAACGCCGCGGCAAAGATAAACTTTGAAAGACAGAGCGAACGCTTAAAGTTTAGATCTCCAGATTATTACAATGCTCGATATTAAAGTGGCCCTGAGCAAGCTTTCAAAGGGAGCCTAATAAAAATTGATCTCCGCTGCTTTTGCAGCACTCGGAAAATAGGCTTGTTGAGCGGCCGTAATATCGGGAGAAGGTTCCCTCT